CAGTTCTGAAAACATTCCACTGAAAAGATTTTGTCCCAGTTTTGCAGACTGACGAAGATAAATAACAGTCTCTTGTGCAGCTAATTTTTTGAGAAATACGAAAACTAATTGTCAAAAAGTTTCGTTTTCTCGGCTGCATATTCCGCTTAAAACTGATTCTTAGAATATCTTTTGGAACGGTTTCACACTTTCACCGCCCACTTTCCCTTCCTGGGCAATTCGTAGATCGTTCCCTCCTGGGATGATATTGGAGCTGTTTCTAAAGCCTTTGCTGTTCAGCGGTATTTCTCAGTTTAAGCAGCGTTTAAAACCGATTTTTTGCAAGTTTTTTGAATGTTTAAGGGCACTTTGTCGAGTCGTTCCTATATTTCTTTCTCACTTACTGATTTGTTCATTGCAATATAATCCGCTGCCAACATTTTATTTTCAGTGGAGTCTAACACAGCCCATTTCCTTTGTGTGCATGAGATAACCTGAGTTGAGTCTAGCTGTTTTAACTGCATAATTTTTTCTTCGTATTTATCAGAGCACTCTCCATCACCATACTCCTCTAATTTAGCGTTTCGGCTACATATTCTGCACAAAATGGATTTCCCAACAGCATGCTTATAACCCACTGACGCCTCTACAGCTGCAAGAACTACAGGCACTGCTAGCAGCTCTGTAGCAGCAGATTTTGGCACTGCAATTTTAGTAAGTTTTGTCTTTAGGGAAGACTTGCCTTTGTAATCCGGTTCTGCATCTCGCATTGAAGCACCATCATCAAATGGCTCTGACGAAAATTCCGGAGATGTACTAAAACCAGCTTCTTCACCGTCACCTTTTATCACAGATTCATTAAACTGTTCATTTTCCACAGCTTTCTTCACAAACACAGTTCCCTCTGAATCTTTGCCAGTATCTTCTTGAAGCCCCGCAAGAACTATTTCAGTTGTTCTCACGTCACGGATTTGTCCTGTATATGTGTCAGTATCTGTCTCGGACAACCCTTCTTTTAATTCCGAACAGCGGTATTCCTCATGCGTAGCAGTTGTTGAATCTACTTCGCCAAGTCGTCCTATGACTTTCTGCAAATCCTGTAAATCAATTGGCTCATCAGTGTTTTCGGCAGTCAATTCTGCAAGTTCAGTAGTCACTTGATGTTCCTGCTGTTGAGATTCTAAGGGTTCATCCTCGATTACTACTTCTGCACAAGCAGAAGCTCCGTTTTCCGCTCCTTCATCTTTTTCTAATTTTAATCCCATATACAATTTCGTTTCGATATATTCTGAACTTTCGACCTCGCAAGTTTCATTAACAGCTTTTTCAGTCGGTAACAAAGTTACTCGCCCAGCTGTCTTTTCAACTCTTTTACGAGGTTCCATCTCGCCTACACCGATTATTTCCTCCGCCCCCAGTTCCTCGCTTTTTTTAAAATGAATGTTTTCCGATTTCTTTTCTTCATATGGTTTGGTTTCACTTTCTGA